CTGTCTATACTGATATATTCTACAGCGCTCAGTCATTGTTATGGTTTATTGCAGATGGCTTTTTGCAGATAGATTAACAAATTCTCATTTAGTTATTGGTTATTGGTTCAAGAGTAGACGTTTGTATATAGGTTGATAGGTTCTCATTTAGTTACTGACTCAAGAAGAGAAATTTGTATTTAAATTATTTTGTTAATGCACCTGAAGTTTTAAAGTTGTAATAATAAGGGGCTGTATATTTTTTTTCTGCTAGTGGGGGAGGGAGGGGGGCGGGATTAGTTTGTGGTGTAGTTTAGGGAGTTGGTGTAGAAAACATTATAATATCAGATCTAAGAGATGCTTAATACGCGATATGGGATTATAGTGATAATAATGTCTATATTTATAGAGATGTTAACATGTAATTCGGGGTTATATTGTCTATATTTATGCATTTTCTATACCTGGATTTTTGTATATCTATTAATCTCTTTTATTTAATTTAATTTTATCTGACAGGTTTCAAAATAAAGTGCTTCCTAGAGCGGGAAAACTCTGTGGATGGTGAGGACAGATACTAGTGCATGATGATCTTATATCTTATCTTATATCTTTCTATTTTTTTGCTTCTTCCAAAATGTGGTTGGCCAAGCGGCCTAGCTGCCCTGCCATTAGCTGTAGTTGGGCAGCTACCCGCTTGGCTTCTATGGTTGCCGTCCTAATTTCCCTTGCTTTTTGTTTCAATTTTGCTTCCTTTTCTTGCAGGTCCTTTTCTTTCTTTTCGAATTCTCTCTTTTTTTCCTGTGTTTCTATCGCTGCTAGGCAGCTGCGTACCTCAAATTCTTCCTCTGGGGATAGCTGTAAAAATGATTAACCCACCTGTAATAACTTTTCTATTATTTGTTAGCTTATCTTTCCCCGGACTGTATGATAATGTAATACGATGAGCTCATCCTTTTAAACAAAAAGCATCTTATCTCAACAAAATGTTGAAAGCCTTATCTCATCAGAAGCTCAGAAGGCAATCAAGAAAACAGGTTAGGGAGGGGAGGGAAGAGAATATGCCGTAGGGGAATGGGGCGGGTTTCGGAGAAAACCTGTTTCTACACGTTTTGACGCCATTATGGTACCATTTGGCTAAGCCCTACTAGCTTTTGTTACTTTAAGATGCTCCTTGCTTTATCCAAAAATCTCATACCTGGATCTTGAGCTGTTTGGCCTTAGTGCAATTTGGTGTGTCCATGTCGTTGGTCTTTAGCTGGAGAGGGTGAGTAAAATTTGGTTTAGTTCTTTATATTATTTACAAATTTAGTCTTAGCGTAAACACAGATGATTATGTGTTATGAAGGCTTACCTTTCGTCTGGTTTCTGGTGTATGTGAGGGTTGCATGGAAGTTTAGATGGTCTGAGGAATTACTGTGGGTTACACGATTGCATTGATTGCGCCAAGTTTTTTTAAAAATTCAAAAAGTTGCATCTTGCTCCAGTCCGTGTCGCATGCTAAAAAGTGCTAAGCGACTGAACATTTGTATACTTTGAAATATCCCTATGCGCGAGCAAACATTAAGTTTGTTTGTAACTTAGTCAGTCAGTAAAATTTACGTATGTAAAAGTTGCAGAGGATGCTAATATAACAGAATGACAATTAATTTACAAGTTTGGCATGAAAAGGTTATCAAATCTGATTTTATTACTTCTTGCTTGAGGACTGATTTACAAAGAATCGACAAACTATATGGTAGATTAGCTAGGTGTAGCTTTGAGCTGTACAAATTGAGGAAGGAAGTAGATGTTGAATATATATCTGTTAGCGCTGTGGTAACATGTAAAGACGGGATTTTACAGAGAAAGAGAAAGAAATAGAGTTGGAGATAGCTACCCTAAAGAAATCTGTGGATGACATTGTAACAAGCAGGACGCAACTAATTACCTCTGAATTATTACAGTGGAAAAATAAGAGAGGGAGAGACTATTTCACTAAACAGAAGGAGAGAAGACACATCAGAGGAGGTCATGTGATAGTTGAAGAATGGTGAAAGGCAGGAGAATGAGAGGGGGAGGTAGTAGGGTGAATGTTAGGAAAGAAATTATGCGTTACTTTTTCCATCCTAGAAATCACCAGTTAGAACTAGTTTTTATTTGACAGGGGAAGGGGTATGGTAGAGTTCTAGAAAAGTTTAAAAATAGTAAAAAGCCTATGATTCTCATAAGTTTAGAGTTTTGCAATTACTAAGGGCTTTAATTGAAATATTGAATTGTTAAGAATTATACAACAAATTGCTCTGAAGACTACAGGGCTATTTACCATTCATTGGCACTAGCCTGCACCTCAGCTAATAGAGGATCAGATGCATCAACTCTCTGCTCTTTGCATCTCCCTTTGACCTCAGGCAACCATTAAGAAAGAAATTCAACAATAAAAAGAATTAGAAAATAATTGGATATTTTTGGTTAGCCAGGTGTATTTAAGCATAGCACAACAGACGTATGATAACAAACTGGTTTACTTGAGCAAGATGGCGGTCTTACAAGAACAGCCTTACAGCCCAAAGGCATCATGGGTAAACCAACCACAGCAAGTATATAACACGCTTGCTTCTTACCAAAACACAATGGATAAACAAATAAAGGAATAACAAAACAAACAAACAAATCTAGCTTAAGCTGTGAGTCCCTGTTTTTCTAAACAATAATGTGATCATGAAACTTGTCCTGAGCAGTTCCTTAAGGCTTAAAGTAGGGGGGAATCTTCCTCTGCAATAAGAACAAGTCACGATACGTTAGTCACTCAGAATAATGGCAGGACGTCAAACAATGCCCCAACTCCGGGTTACAGTTAGTGAATCAGGCCGTGCTGGTGAGCTGGGTGGCTCCTTAGAGAGAGATGAAGACAGGAAAGGTTCCACATGAGGGTGTTGTAATTGTATGTGCCTATCTTCAGGAATGGCGAGCAGAGAAGGGGAGGAAATGGTGGATTCCTCATTAGGCTGAATTAAAGTGGGCGAGATCCTTTGACTTTCTCTAGGTATATTGTAGGGGCACTGTGCAGTCATTGTATTGGGACGGCAAAGGTGTCAAAAGCGCGAGGTATGCCCGGCGGGGGCATGTTGAAGCTTCGATTTGACCAATACATAACAACACGATCTTGTTTATAGGAGAGGACTCAGCTCACCTCCTGGTGGTGTCGAAGTTAAGCATTGCTAGACTCTTAGCAAAATTAAATCCGTCCAAGGTGTGTGGACCAGGTGAAGTACCCAATTGGCCACTGCGGGAGTATTCTGAACTTCTCACTTACCCTGTGTGCGGTATAATTAATGTGTCCTTACGAGAACAGTGCCTTCCTACCATCTGGAAGTATGCGGATGTATCCCCACTACCCAAGAAAAGAAAGTTGAGGATTTGAAAAAAGATCTGAGACCAATCTCTCTTACCGACTGGTTATTGAAAGTCGCTGAGGATTGCGTCATTCACAATTACACAAAGCCTGCTGTTCTCAAGGTCCTGGACCCAAGTCAGTATGGCGTGGTACCTCATTCGTCCACCACACAGGCTCCCCTACACATGGTCCACAGCTGGGCTCAAGCAACAGATGGAATTAGCGCCACAATCGGGACTGTTCTATTCGATTATTGAAAAGCATTCGATCTAATTGACCACAGGATACTCATTGATAAATTATGTACATTAGTTCTACCAACCAGAATAGTCAATTGGATAATTGATTTTCTGTCCGGGCGTTCTCAGCAGATTAAGCCAGCTGAGGGATGTTACTCCAAGTGGGGTTCTGTCCCCTCAGGGGACAAAGCTAGGGCCTTGGTTGTTCCTTATTTTATCAATGATCTAAGTCTTAATGGAAATTTCAACGCCCAGCTCTGGAAGTATGTCAATGACATGACAACGTCACAAGTAGTTTGCTAACGGTGGTGCACAACATATAGCAGACTGTGTATCCCAGTGGTCCTTAGATAATAGGGTTCAACTGAACAGCGAAAAGTGTAAAGAACTTAGAATCTCCTTCACTAAAAAGCAGTCTGAGTTCCATCCTATTCTTGTAAATGGTAACCAACTTGAAGTAATAGTTAGAAGCGCAGAGCTGCTGCGTGTGATAATGACAAGCAATTTATCATGGAATGAGCACATTAACGAAATTGTAAAGAAGGCGTCTAAATGTTTGTATTTCCTAGTTCAGCTTAAAAGGGCAAAGCTTCAGGGCATAATCATATATTTGGCCCAGTCTGTCTCATGACGAGGCACTTAATGAAGCTGGTATTCCAACCATTATTTCATATTCCAAGGACATATGTGACAAGGTTTTTAATGCTTCCCTTGGCAACAAGGATAACAAACTTAACAAGTTATTAAGCCAGGCTCCATATTTACTAAGAAATCACCGACACTTTGGATGTACAAGGTGGAAGACGGACTATTTTAAGAGCACTTTTATTTTGTCATTGTGTCCAAAGTACAATTAAATGATTCGGTTTGAATGCATTTATATATTACATGCATGAATTTTTAATATTTTTAATATTGATGTATTGTAAATTGTTCTATTTTTTAGCTTAGTTTTATTTGTAAATACGCAATTTAGCCTCTGGCTGCCTATGTATTTATTTCAATGAACTATCTATCTTTATTTGTCTATAGAGAAGTTCTTTATGTGATCTAAGTTCACTGTATACATCCTAGTATGGCCTTACAGATTCAGGGACTGAGGCTCGCCTGAACAGTTCTAGGACCGTCTTATCATAGTTGAGGGCTGCCTGGTCAATAGAATCTCCCCGGCCATATTCAGTACCCCCTTCATATCACGAATAACATCGTGGAGACGTCACTGAAACTCCTCTGGGGCTGAGCGGACCCCAAATGGGAGACCTGTCCATCGGTAACGTCCCCAAGGAGTATGCATAGTTGTGAGCAAAGAAGACTCTTAGGTAAGCTGAATAGTTTGAAAAGCATCTCTAATGTCACACGTTGAGAAAAAGTTTCCCTTTGTAAAACCGATGGATGTTTTCTTCAAGTGTTGGAATCGGATAAACTGGTCTAATAATGGCCCCATTTTTCGTTTGGGATGGATCCAGGCAAATTCGTACTTTAGCCGGCTTGGAATCGGTATGCTCACCCACCCCTGTGTTGAAGACCCATTGAGTTGCTTCGGTTACAGGAACCAGTTGACCATTTTCAATTACCTTGTCCAGTGCCTCCTTTATGATGGGCAACTTGGGTGCAGAGAAACGATGTGATATCGCCTGAATAGGCTAGACTTCAGAATTCAGGCTAAAGGAGAATGGGGGACCCAGCTCACCTAAGCCCTCAGATAACTGTGGATTAACATGTTTGATGTACTCGAGAGTCAACTCACCAGGAGGGGACGATGGAGCTGGTGTATATTCCATTTGAGAGGCTTCAACCTGATTGACCTTGTCAGCATCATTCTTCAGTGTACACATGCAAGTGCTGTCCGCCAAACCAAGTAGGGGAGGATAGTACTGTTGGGATGTAATGATCTGAACCACCAATTCATACGAGCTGCCCTGGTGTGAACAATTTAGCTTGGCTTGACCTTTGGTGGGGATAGTTGCTTTGGAGTAGTGGAAGAGACGTGTGGGGGATGGCATTACTTTGACATCTGACAGCTTTCCCAGATCAGTGATGTGCATGGTGTTGCACAAACAGCCAGAATCTACTTGAAACTCAATACAATGAGAACGCCATGTTGTGTGATGAGAGCACACATCTAGGTCAACAAAAATGCCTTTAGGGTTACTTTAGACCTGATGTATTTCATGGTTAGTAATGTACGCTTCAGATGGGCTTGAGACTGGGTGAGATTTCATAACCTAAAGAGATTTTGCAACTGATGCTTTACAGACGTGTTGCCAATGGCCATGTTTACCACAAACAAAACATGTAGCATTCTTTGCTGGGCATTCATGACGACTACGGTGGGATAGCTTGCCACACCACTAGGAAGGAGTAGAGCTGGCTTTAGGAGTTTACTGAGAAGTCTGAGCCTGAGGGATCTTGTTTCATGAGATCTTGTTAACAGCCTCTTCAAGGTGGTGCTGTGCAATAGATGATTCTGTTTTCAAGTTTTCAAATCCTGGGCCTTGGCAATTACTTGAGCAAAAGTAAGTGGCAAAGGTTTCCCTCAAAATTACATCACTTTGAAAATGCTTGTACGTGTCATTGAGACCAATAACAAAAATGTCACGCTGAAGCCTGTCCCCTGCCTTGATTAGGAAGTTGCATTTTTGAAAGCTAAGCCTCACCGCTGTTTGCCAATCTTGAATACTCATAGTTGGCTCTTACTTTAGAATTCTCAGACAATGGTAAGTACTTTGGATTATTGGCCCTGCTCCCAGGTAATGCTTTGTTAGCTCTTGAAGCCACGCCGCAGGGTTTAGTTTGTTGTCGTCTGAGATTTGAGTGTCTGTGGTAGTTGTAGGAACATCCCATTCTTGAGAAGGAAAAGCCCTTTGTAGAGCAGCCATTGCCTTCGGGTGTTTGGCTCTGATCCAACAGTCATCCGAGTCAACATCTTTAGCTGGGTTAATAAAATCCTCCATAATGCAAAAATCCCAAAAGTTAGCCACAAAATATTTGAAAGCTCGCTGCCAGTCAGGGTCGTTAACGTCAAACGTAGGTCTGTCATGATCTCTCTCCACGATTCCACGTGTTTGAGATCAAAGGCAAAGCACGCCACAGACGAGTGTGAATAATGAGTTTAGAGAAGTTCACAGTCTAACCTAAGGACTTGTAAACCTCCAGTTTAACTTTTACCGGAGGAGTTCCCAAACTTCTGACGCCATGTAATTAAGCATAGAAGCACAACAGACTTATGATAACAAACTGGTTCACTTGAGCAAGATGGCAGTCTTACAAGAACAACCTTACAGCCCAAAAGCATCATGAGTAAACCAACCACAGGATACCAGCAAGTATATAACAAAGGGGCTTGCTAAAATGTTTTGCAAAAATTATTTGTGCAACCGAGCAGCAATGGGTAAAATTCCTAAATGAATAATTTGCCCAGGAGCTCCTGGTTTTGCTGGTTAACCAGTACTTGTCCCCATTTTTCCACCCTGATAAAGGCGTGTAAGGTTGTTATGTAGATCTGTCAGCTTGTTCAGTTGTCCTACGTTCACTTAGTTTTCCTAGTCCTCACTAATATGCTCCAGCTTACTGTTTTCCTAGCCCTGACTAAAATTTTCTAGTTTACTGCTTCATTTTTACAAATAAAGAAGTCACTAAAATGCTCACTAATGCTCTCAGCCTTTTCCTCTATCAATTCTAATCATTTCAAGGTGCAGAGGCCGCTTCGCAAAATGTATAAGTAGCATGAGAAAAATGTATAGTAGTAAATTTATATACAAGTCTTTATTGAGGTGAAATTTGGCACTAACAATGTGCAAGGCCTCAAAACAGAGAAAGTTAGATGTCATAGTCAAAAGCTCGCTCTTCTGATACAAGTTGATTCTTCAAACCAATTTTACAGTAGAAAACAGTCATTTGGTGCCTCAGCTATGACTGCAGCTTGTCTTAACAAGCAATCTCTATAAGTAATCAGCTAGCGAGTAACTATGAAATATATGACTGCCATGACGATTTGGCTAAGGGTAACAATGATTGTGTTAGATAAATTTGAAACTAATATTCAGAAATAAACTGGAACAATATGGTGGCCTTATCTCAGGCTACCGCAAAGGTTTAGAGAACTCCCCGCAACCTGTCCTGACCAATTAGATATTGCCATTTCTAGGTGGTAGCTGTGAAAGAAAATTTTTTGATCCGTGATTTCTTCAATAACAATCTCCCACTTGTACCGTTTTTGTTGAAGCAACATGTGAAGGTAAACGAAGGAAACGGAAATGGCCTCCAGGTCGATGCATCATAATCTGAAAAAAAAACTTCATGGCAGGCAACAATAACTTGAGGCCCTTGCAACACATCGTAACGAAACTCTGGGGTAGGACTAGTGGCATATAAGTTGGCTGAGAGGATAAACCCATTTTGTCTAAATTAGTGCAGGAAGGTCGGCCCCAATGGAGATTTCCTTACGAGTCAGCTTCAAGCAGAACCTCAGAAAAGAGGCAAAACATTTCTTTGACAGAGTCAAACGAAAGCCACAAAATCATCATGAAATATGAGTCTTGTGCGCTGAACTTCCAATAAGTTTCATTGCGTTTACTAAACAGGCTGAGATGGGCAGAAGAAATTGCCATCAGTTATGAAAACCCGAGCAAAAGTAGCAGTCTTAGCATAGAATCACTATTTAACCTGTGTATGGAAGTATGATTTTGGCATTTGTACCTCATTGACACTGTTCGCATATAGATATATGATGTCCACAGGATAAACAATCGATTTAGCCTAATTCGCAAGGTTCAGCTTCCTCGAAATTGACACGGAAAACTGTTTTGTGGTCTTTAGAGTCGCGAAGAACTCTATAGGTTAATCGTAGAGTCTACTGCAACCAAGGCAATGACTTTGCCATTTGACAGGCACACCTCCAGGAAACTGTCTTAGCCTCTGTCTCTAACAACATGAACCTTGTCGTCGCTAATCGCGTGCAGCATCATGTTTCTAAGAAAACTGATATAAATGGACTTGTGATGTAAATAATCCACAATGCATTTCCCAAGGTCATGGGTGGTCACTCTCACTGAAAAGTAATTCTCGAAGAGCACTGTTCAATGTAGTGAGAGTAAGAGCCCATCGAAAAGGAAGCTGCATTTATGAGAAGCTGTAGTCTAAATTTCTGCCGGTAAAAGTTGATGTAGTATGGATAAAGGACAGTTGTGTCATGTCAGCTCTTACTTGGGCCGTAAGCATACTTGGTCTTGTAATTGCCCACTAGAAGTAAGCATAATGAAGTTTTGATTACATCATCCCTCAATAGTTTACCCGGTATGTAGACGGAGAGTGGCAAATTCCTTGATGCGTCCTACATTGGCCAACACAGTACATTATAAAGAGACAAAGGTTCATTGCACACCTAGCTCGTTCTAGGCCAATTAACTCCGTGAGTTGCCACTTGAATTCTCAGCAGAGCTCCAAGATCTGCAGATAGGCTATTTTTAGGGGAGATAGACTATTTTCTAGGGGTGTTGTGGCCTGCTTAAGCAGGCGTTCTATTCTGGCTTAGGATTCAAGCTGACATTGAAAGCTTTGCATTTGCATCATGAGCCTTTCGTTGACCCCACCGCGTTTGCCATACTTGCTAGCGGTGAGTGTTTAATCTCTTGCCTTTTGGTGGTGAACTGTACAAACCTTGATCAGTTCTGGTGTTGCCGCAAAGAGAAAGCACTGGTTCAATTTCAATGCCCTTCACCCTCTTAGTGAACCAAAAAAATGCCGAAATACTTTTAATCATTTAGTTCAAAGTGGACTCATGCAACATTCTTCCTTCATGATGAAGGTTGATGTCCTGGGAGTAGAATCCTTGTAGTTGTTGCATGAGGGAGAGCAGCTCGCCACTCATCTCAACAACAAGAACAAATTTTATTGAAAATTGGAAATATAACTAATTACATTACTTTCCCACCCGCAGATAGCTTATAAACCAATTGAGGCGGGGGATCTGAAGACATATTACCAGTACAAGGTTTATCTGCAGATGGACTGTATAACAGTGAAGACACTTCTATACAGTAAATAGAATAAACTAACATAAAACAAGGCAAGTACATAAGGATTACACACGAAACAAGAGAACGAAACAAATAGATAAAAGCAAAAGAAACAATTAAACATTAGAAATGTACGAAAGGTGGAAAATGTTATGCAAGAGCACTCAAAGACATGTCCGTCCATCTTAGCACATCACGTGACTCAAGATAGCTGTAAGATGTGAGTGGGTTTCAGGATGTCATCATCTCCCTTTTGGGAGTCCCACCGAGTGTATGTGCCCCTATTGGTGTGCCATGGTGGGCACAGGTCTTTGTCAGTCCTACCTCTGCTGCCTGAAGGGCAGTGCCAAGGGGCTGCGATGTGCTTAGTGAACAAGTTCTAGCAAGATGTGGGCATTCTTAAAGATGTTCCCAGTGTTGAGGCATCATCGTGTCATCTCTTAGCAATGCACAGATCATTCGTCCCTGCAGCATTTTGCCCAAGAAGTTGCCCTTTTTCAGACACGCTAACAAAGTTAGCAGAAAGTTTTCAGCTAACAGAATCTGCATAGGAGTCACAAGAGACCTCTTTTGGTAGGGCCAGGCTCTCTTTTGGAATGCCAAGAGACAACCCTTTGCCTCATTTACATTCCTGTGACACACAGAGGAGGCTGCAGGGAAATTCAGTTTATTTTGCAAAGTTATAGTTGCACCAAGGTTCAATTGTTATTGTCCATGACGCATTTGTGTTGCTGGGGTAATGATCAGAGGTGATTGTGGAGAGCCAAGGGCCATGATTGCTGCAGTACAATAGCCTGGTCAAAGCGCCCTGACTTATAAAAATTTCTTTCCAAAATTTCTTGTTTGCCTTTGCTGGCGGCAGAGACCACTATGGAAACCATGTTTAGCCAGGTCATGAGAATCAACCTATCTGTCCATAGAGAACAGGTTTTGCCTCCCTTCAAATAAACAGTAATGCCTCCTTTCTGCTGGGAAGCTGGCAATGGGGAATTGGTTCTCCAGAGCAGGGGGCCTTTTTAAAAAACTACAAAATCGTTGAAAAATGAGAGGAATGAGAGGGACTAGCCAATAAAAATACAGTTTATCCGTGAAAGTAATTGCAGTGATATTAAAATGTTGCCAAGCAT